GTACGTTCGTGTCTCTGTACAATTAGAACCTTCCCCAACCCCAGACGCTGAGCGGAATTAAATAAAGAGGATTTAAGAAGTTTTCAATGTAAACCTCAATTCAGAATTATTATTTCTGGCAAGTCTTTACTTTTGGAACACAAGTCCAACTTGAAAAACAACAAGGCTCAACTCAGCTTGAAGATTTTATTGTAAACTATTATGTACTATTAACTAATTTGATTCCTTTAGTAGTAGTAGTAGTAGTAGTAGTAGTAGTAGTAGTAGTAGTAGTAGTAGTAGTAGTAGTAGTAGTAGTAGTAGTAGCAGCAGCAGGTCAAAAACCTTTAAAGTAAACAAATGTGTAATTAAATTAAATTTACAATTTCATTAGTTATATAATCTATTTTAATTTTAATTAATACACTTCAATATATATATATATATATATATATATATATATATATATATATTGTATTTATTTATAATATTTACTACACATTTGATACATGAATTTAAATAGCTAAAATTTTACCAATACATTTTTAATCCCAAATATAACTTGTTTTTATACAGTTTTAAATGACTACATGAAATGTAATATTTTATTATTTCAAGACAAATTTTGATAAATAAATACATTGTTTTTAATTGCTAAATAACATATATATATTTTTAACTAAAGCTACTTTAACTTAGAATTTACATCATTTACTTTAAATCAGATTTACTACTTTATTAATAATAAAACTATTTATTTATTCAACTTAGCTCTATTTTGGCATTTTCAAACTTAAATTGAATTTATTTACTATTTACTTCAACTAAACTTAAAGGTTGTATGGAGGATTATTGTCAATGAAAGTTTAAAATACCATTACAGAGACGCAGCAGCCTCGTAATTATGATGACCAAAAAAAAAAAGAATGAAAATCTATCAACTGTGGACGTAGTGAGGCCAGAGAAACATCAGCCAATAGAAAACAAGGCTGCCTCATTTCCTATTGGCTGTTGGGTTGTCAATCAAACTCCCTAGTGTAATTGACTCCTCGGTGCGCGGGGATTACGTGGTTTATGCAGCAGTTTTTAGAGGATTTTTCAAACTGTAGCTTCCTCGCATTTCGCACAAAGTTTGTTGCGACGGCGGACGAGAATCAGCGACCAGTTCGCCGTAAAAGAAAGTCCGTTTTTGAGGTCGCTGAAAGAAGAAGAGAAGGGGAAAAGGAGCCAAGACAAACTGAGGTGATTCTTGGAGATCTCTTCCAGCGATTGGATGAATGAAGCAGATGAACGGTCTAAAAACTGATGCGCTGGTTGATAAATTATTTCTAAACAGGTCACTTCAACAGTGATTCTGAACACACACTGGACGTAAACAAGCGTAATTTCTAGAGTAAAGAGGCGGGAGGAGATGTTTCTTCTGAGGGAGGAGGAAGGTGGTGTCACTCATGCACAACATTTGAAAAAGGACCGTCGCTGTATGTCACCTCCCTTAAAAAATCCTCTATACAACCTTTAAAACTCATTTTAAAAGGTAAATGTCCTCACCGGTGTCTCTGTGTTTCCCCTCACGTTCCTTCGTTTGGTTCTGTTTGTGTTTTGCGCACCTGGGCATTAAATGATTCCAGAGATGCACCTGGTTACCTGATTTTTTTTCTTGCTGCCATCTACTGGCCAGACTCAAAATAACCTCATCAACTAATAAAAAAGGAGAGGAGAGGGGAGGAGCGGTGAAGAGGAAGAGGAGGGAGCAGAGGTGAGAGGAGGCAGGGCTCAGGAGTCCAGGTGAAGACTTGGTGCAGGGACTGGGCTTTTTCACTTGACAATTTCCATGTAAACTCGAACGAGAATATTTTAATTCCCAACTATTTAATTCAGAACAATCAATATGGAAATTTAAAAAAACATCATGTAAACGTGGCCAAATTCATGAATCACTCCAAAGACAACTTCAGAGGTTCAACGCTGAAGTTCTATTTGGAGTGATTCATGTTTGATTCATGTTTTTGTTTTGTTTTGTAGTACTTTTATTATCCCCGTAGGGAAACTGTCCTCTGTATTTCACTTTCAGGAGCAGTGGGAGGCACATGAGGCGCCCGGGGAACCATCTCCATGATCTCGTTGCTTGGCTTGGTCAGGACAACCTCAGCTGGAGTGAGTAAGTTTTTATTTATAGCACTTTTTATCGACATGTGTCACGATGAGTCTTTACAGAGCATTATTCATGGAGGATTTTACCTACGCTGCATCTTTATTCTCCCGTTTTCACGACGCCGCGGCCCTGATTTACGTTTTCGCCGCCAGTGTAAAAGGGAAAAAAAGAGAAAAGACGATCCCGTTTCTGTTTCTGTGAGTCACACGTCTGACAGATCGATCACAGACGCAGCAGCAGGAGGCCTCACTCTGAGACTCCCCCGATCACCGCAGACAAACAATTAAGACAAAGTACAGTTTTCTGCTAAATGGATCTTCTGGAGTTTTCTCTCACTTTATGACGGCGTTTCCTCGTCAAAAAGGAGCTCATAAGTTGGCGGTTCGAATCTCGCTCTCGACATAAACATCATTCTTTGAGCGGTTTGATCCACTGACTCACAGGTTGGAGGTGTGATTCCAGCTCCCACAAATGAATGCTGTCTTTGTGTCCTTGGGCAAGACACTTAACCCCCCTCATCCTGGGTGTCTGTGTTCTCCGGTGTGTGAGTGAGTGGTTCCTCTGAGTGACTTGAAGCTGGAAAAGCGTTGTATAAAAATGTGACCATGTACCAAAAACACGTCTGAAACATCCATCCATCCATCTTCTTCCGCTTATCCGGGGTCGGGTCGCGGGGGCAGCAGCCTAAGCAGGGACTCCCAGACTTCCTTCACCCCAGACAAGTCCTCCAGCTCCTCTGGGGGGACCCCGAGGTGTTCCCAGGCCAGCCCAGAGACATAGTCCCTCCAGCGTGTCCTGGGTCTTCCCCGGAACACCTCCCGAGGGAGGCGCCCAGGAGGCATCTGGAACAGATGCCTGAGCCTCAACTGCTCCTCTCGACGTGGAGGAGCAGCGGCTCTACTCTGAGCTCCTCCCGTGTGACTGAGCTCCTCACCCTGTCTCTAAGGGAGACGCCCAGACACCCTGCGGAGGAAACTCATTTCGAGCGCTTGTATCCACGATCTCGTCCTTTCGGTCACTACCCAGAGCTCATGACCAGAGGTGAGAGTAGGAACGAAGACTGACCGATAAATCGAGAGCTTCGCCTTTCGACTCAGCTCCTCTTCACCACAACGGTCCGATACAGCGACCGCATCACTGGAGACTCTGCACCTGTCCACCTGTCAATCTCACACTCCATCCTCCCCTCACTCGAGAACAAGACCCCGAGATACTTGAACTCCTCCACTTGAGGCAGAGACTCTCCACCCACCCGGAGAGGGCAAGATGCCTTTTTCCAGTCGAGAACCATGGCCTCGGATTTGGAGGAGCTGATCTTCATCCCAGACGCTTCACACTCGGCTGCAAACTGCCTCAGTGCTGCAGGTCCTGGTCTGATGAAGCCAACAGGACAACATCATCTGCAAACAGCAGAGATGATCCTGTGGTCCCCAAACCGGACCCTCCAGCCAACAGAACCGGTGACAGGGGCGGCCCTGGAGGAGTCCAACATGCACCGAGAACAGGTCTGACTTACTGCGGCAACAAACACAGCTCCTGCTCCGGTCATACAGGGACCGGACAGACCTTAGTAAAGGGCCATATCAGCTGTTTGACATTATAATGTGTTTAATTCAGTTTTGTTCAAATCTCACAGAAACAAAACTTAAAACCACATCACTAATTTACATAAACTAAGTGAAGATAAAACTCCAGCTCTTGTGTCGCTGATGTGGTTCAACTTGTGTTGGATTAAAAGACATGACTCAGGTGAATACAGGTCAGTGTGACCAGATTTGTGTTTGTCAAAACCAGGACAGCGTACGGGGGGAGGGGGGCGGGGCCTCGTCATCCACATTGAGCGACTCTCACCTGGAAAAACTTTTTCCCACTGGACACAGAAACATATGTGCTGCTTTATCCACTGTGCACATGGACTCACACTTGTCCCAACGCAACGGAAAGTGTGGAATTTCTTCTACAAATCCTGGTTAAATCCACATTTGTGCTTCGGTTCGTTACAGACTGACCCACTGTTTGTGTCTCGCTCCTTCTGATGCAGAGACACATGTACACACCTGTTTGGTCACAACACACACAACAACCTACATTCAGTTTGTCGGTTAAAATTACGTGGTCGTACGTGTGCAGTGCAGCTCTTTATTTAACAGTCATTTCATTCATGTACAGTCACTTTATTTATCCTGGTTTCTCATAAACAGAATATTGTCTTATTCAGGAAACTGAATGTGTTGTGCAGAGGTGGGAACTTGCAAGACATGACTTGGACTCAAGACTTGACTTGATCAAATGGACTAAGACTTGGGACTCAATTTGAACCTGAAGGTCAATAACTTGGGACTTGACTCGGACTTGAGGCCTGTGACTTGAAAGAAGCACTTTTAAATCTGAATTTTTTCTATTCTGAGCGTAATGATTCACACTAAGATCTTGTCATGACATTTATAAAGGGAAAATAAACATTTCTACAACTCGTACATACTCTATAAATACTCAAATATAAATATAATATGATTCTTTAAGTACAATTTATCTTAAAAGTCAAATAAATAGCAAAAATCTAAACTATATTTTGTACTTTACTTTGAGCTTCAAGTCATTTCAAGTCTTTAAACCTGGACTTGACTTGGACTTATGGACCAGCGTCTGGAGACTCGACTTGGACTTGCGGGTATTTGACTTGAGGCTCGGACTTGAGGTCAAAGACTTGAGACTTACTTAAAACTTACAAAACAAAGACTTGGTCCCAGCTCTGGTGTTGTGTAATAGTGGTATCGGTATCGGCATGTGGTATCGACAAACGTTTAACAAGTACAAGTATATTATCGGTAAGTATCGGTATCGTAGGGGGCATGAGCGTCAGTCTTACCTGTGCAGGTGAGTACAGGCGACACCGATGATGATGATGATGATGATGATGAAGTGCGAGTCCTTCGTGTCCTCCTCCGGCTCCGGCGCCCCCCCCCGGCGGTCCCACGGTCGCCGCGACGGGCAGGGCTCCTCCGCCGGCCCCTCCCAGCCCCCCCGCGGCCCCGCCCGCCACCGCCCCCCCCGCCGCGGCCGTGGCCCCGGCGATGGCCCCGATGTTTCCCATCATGCAGCAGAGGCCCCCCTGCGCCAGCTCCAGCTCGATCTCGGCGTCCATCTCGGCGTCCTCCTGCGCCTCTTTGTTGGAGTCGTCCAGGTGCTTCATGAGAACCGCCACCACCACGTTTATGAGCACGAACTGAGCCGTGAGCACGAACGACACGAAGTACAGAGGAGAGATGAACTGAAGGCCCGCGTGACAACCGTAATCTGAACCAGGACCGTCAGGAGGACACTCCCGCAACGTGTCCTACAGGAGGAGACACGGAGGAGGGGAGGGGGAGGAGGAGAGGAGGAGGAGAGGAGAGGAGGGAGGGAGGAGAGGAGGAGAGGAGGAGAGAGAGGGAGAGAGGAGAGAGAGGAGGAGAGAGAGGGAGAGGAGAGGGGGAGAGAGGAGAGAGGAGGAGAGAGAGGAGAGAGGAGGAGAGGAGAGGAGGAGAGAGGGAGGAGAGAGGAGAGGAGAGGGAGAGGAGGAGGAGGAGGAGAGGAGAGGAGGAGGAGGAGGGAGAGGAGAGAGAGGAGGAGAGGAGGAGGAGAGAGGAGGAGAGGAGGGGAGAGGAGAGGGAGAGGAGGAGAGGGAGAGGGGAGAGAGGGAGGAGGAGGAGGAGAGGGGAGGAGAGGAGGAGGAGGAGGAGAGGAGGGAGGAGAGGAGAGGAGGAGAGGAGGAGAGGAGGAGAGGAGAGGAGGAGGGAGGAGGAGGAGAGGAGGAGAGGAGGGAGGAGGAGAGGAGAGGAGAGAGGGAGGAGAGGAGAGAGGAGGAGGAGGAGGGAGGAGAGGAGAGAGAGGAGAGAGGAGAGAGGAGAGGAGAGGAGGAGAGGGAGGAGAGGGAGGGAGGAGAGGAGGAGGAGGAGGAGAGGAGGAGAAGGAGAGAAGAGAGAGAGGAGGAGAGGAGGAGAGGAGAGGAGGAGATGAGGAGAGGAGGGGGAGAGAGGGAGGAGGAGAGAGGAGCGAAGGAGGAGAGGAGGAGAGTAGAGGAAGGAGACAGAGGAGAGGAGGAGAGGAGAGGAGGAGAGGGAGGAGAGGAGGAGAGGAGAGGAGGAGAGGAGGAGAGAGGAGGAGAGAGGAGGAGAGAGGGGAGAGGGAGAGAGGAGAGAGGAGAGGAGAGGGGAGAAGGAGGAGAGGAGAGGAGGAGAGGAGGAGAGGGAGGAGATGAGGAGAGGAGGGGAGAGAGGGAGGAGGAGAGAGGAGCGAAGGAGGGAGAGGGGAGAGAGAGGAAGAGACAGAGGAGAGAGGAGAGGAGAGGGGAGGAGAGGAGGAGAGGAGAGAGGAGAGGAGGAGAGGAGGAGAGGGAGGAGAGGAGGAGAGGAGAGGAGGAGAGGAGGAGATGAGGAGGAGAGGAAGAGAGGGAGGGGAGGACAAAAGAGAAGAGGGAGAGAGAGGAGGAGAGGGGGAGAGGGGAAGACAAGAGAGGAGACGGGGAGGAGAGGATAGAGAGAAAGAGGGGAAGAGGGGGAGGATAGGAGGAGGGGGGGAAGAGGGGGAGAAGGGGAAGAGGAGAGGGGGAGAGGGAGGAAGAGGAGAAGGACAGGAGAGAGGGAGGAGAGGAGAGGAAAGATGAGAGGAGAAGGGGAGGAGGAAGAGAGGATGGAGGGAGGAGCAGGAAGGAGGAGAGGAGAAGAGAGGGAGGAGGAGGAGAAAGAGGATGGAGGAGAAGGAGGAGAGGAAGAGAGAGGAGAGAGAGGAGGAGGAGGAGTGGAGGTAGAGTAGAGGGGAGGAAGAGGAGGAAAAGATGGGGAGGAGGGGGGGAGGAAAGAAAGGAAGGAGGGCAGAGGAGGAGAAGATGAGAGTTAAACACGTGTGAATGAAACAAAACACAGCTCCAGGTCTGTTTGTGATGAAGAAACCACATTCTTGGATATTTACACAGTTTGGGACAATTTATTTCTGTATTTCTGCTAAACTTTGCGTTTTCTGCAGGTTTAACAGTGAGAGACGCAGCAGCTCCATTAAACTGAAGCTTTGTTTAACCCAGCGGAGGAAACAGCTCTGTGTGTGTGTGTGTGTGTGTGTGTGTGTGTGTGTGTGTCTGTGTGTGTGTGTGTGTGTCTGTGTGTGTGTGTGTGTGTGTGTGTGTGTCTGTGTGTGTGTGTGTGTGTCTGTGTGTGTGTGTCTGTGTGTGTGTGTCTGTGTGTGTGTGTCTGTGTGTGTGTCTGTGTGTGTCTGTGTGTGTGTGTGTGTCTGTGTGTGTGTGTGTGTGTGTGTGTGTGTGTGTGTGTGTGTCTGTGTGTGTGTGTGTGTGTGTGTGTGTGTGTGTGTGTGTCTGTGTGTGTGTGTGTGTGTGTGTCTGTGTGTGTGTGTGTGTGTCTGTGTGTGTGTGTGTGTGTGTGTCTGTGTGTGTGTGTGTGTGTGTGTCTGTGTGTGTGTGTGTGTGTGTGTGTGTGTGTGTGTGTGTGTGTGTGTGTCTGTGTGTGTGTGTGTCGTGTGTGTGTGTGTGTGTGTGTGTGTGTGTCTGTGTGTGTGTGTATATGTGTGTGCGTAGGTGTGTGTGTGCGTAGCTGTGTGTGTGTTTGTGTGTGTGTGTGTGTATATGTGTGTGCGTAGGTGTGTGTGTGTGTGTATAGTCGGTACCTTCATGATGCCGTTCCAGTTGTCTCCGGTGGACACCTGTGTGTGTATATGTATATAGGTGTGTGTATATATGTGTGTATATGTGTGTATATGTGTGCGTATGTGTGTTGTGTGTGTATATGTGTGTATATGTATATAGGTGTGTGTATATATGTGTGTATATGTGTGTGTGTGTGTGTGCGTAGGTGTATAGTCGGCACCTTCATGATGCCGTTCCAGTTGTCTCCGGTGGACACCTGTGTGTGTATACGTATATAGGTGCGTGTATATGTGTGTACGTGCGTAGGTGTGTGTGTGTGTGTGTGCGTAGGTGTGTGTGTGTGTGTATAGTCGGTACCTTCATGATGCCGTTCCAGTTGTCTCCGGTGGACACCTGTGTGTGTATATGTATATAGGTGTGTGTATATATGTGTGTATATGTGTGTGTATGTGTGCGTATGTGTGTGTGTGTGTATATGTGTGTATATGTGTGTATATGTATATAGGTGTGTGTATATATGTGTGTATATGTGTGTGTGTGCGTGTGCGTAGGTGTATAGTCGGTACCTTCATGATGCCGTTCCAGTTGTCTCCGGTGGACACCTGTGTGTGTATACGTATATAGGTGCGTGTATATGTGTGTATGTGCGTAGGTGTGTGTGTGTGTGTGTGTGTGTGTGTGTGTGTGCGTAGGTGTATAGTCGGTACCTTCATGATGCCGTTCCAGTTGTCTCCGGTGGACACCTGGAACAGAGTGAGGAAGGCCATCCCGAAGTTCTCGAAGGTGGCGTGGCGACTCATGCCCTCGCACGGGTAATCGGCGTTACACACTACACAACGCAAACACACACTTTTATTTATACGCATCTGCTCAAAACACATTTTAATAATAACAACAATCGCTTTAGTCGTGTCGTCAAGGTCAGGATCACAGCTGGTGAAAGAACGCACTGTATGTTTCCTGGAACTTGTGTTTTTAGGATCTGTTGTATTTACTTGTTTGAGTTTGTGTGTTTCTTCTTCTGTTTTTCGTCTTACCGAGCTCCCCGAACAGCTCCACCCCCAGAGCCGCGTAGATGAAGAAGAGAAGCATGAAGAGCAGGCCCAGGTTCCCCACCTGCAAACAACACAAACACATACACATACAACATTAAAACACAACAGTATATAACTAGGGGTGTGCAGAATATCGATGTATCGTATCGTTTAATGTGACAATACAGTATCGATATCGTGGGCTGCTGTATCGATATGTCACCAAGAGTATTTTTTGGTATATTTTACTAAATCATTGTGTTACAGCTGCAGTTTTGTTGTTTGTTTAGAGGAAGGAAACGCGTTAATGCGACACATCTGACATTTGCACTGTTTTTGATGATTAAAATGTTTGTGTTTAATTCTAACTTTGCACAAAATTAGTGGTTTGATAAAGACTTTTAGTATCACAGTCATGATTTAGCCTTTATTTTTACTGAACCATATCGAACTGATTTGAAATACATTGAATTGAACCAAAAGTGCACTGTATCGAGGTATGTATCGTATCGGCAAATTCTTAATGATACCAGCCCTGTATATAACACTATAACACAATCATATATACACTATAACACAATCATATATAACACAATCATATATAACACTATAACACAATCATATACAAACATATATAACACAATCATATATACACTATAACACAATCATATAACACTATAACACAATCATATATAAACACTAACACAATCATATACAACACTATAACACAATCATATATAACATATACACAATCATATATAACACTATAACACAATCATATACACACTATAACACACTATACAACACATAAACACAATCATATATAACACTATAACACAATCATATATAACACTATAACACAATCATATATAACACTATAACACAATCATATATAACACTATAACACAATCATATATAACACTATAACACAACATATATAACACTATAAACACAATCATATATAACACTATAACACAATATATATAACACACTATAACACAATCATATAATATATACACATATTATAACATATAACAATCATATATAACACTATAACACAATCATATACAACACTATAACACAATCATAATAAACACATATACACAATCATATATAACACTATAACACATATATACAACATACACAATCATATATAACACTATAACACAATCATATATAACACTATAACACAATCATATATAACACTATAACACAATCATATATAACACTATAACACAATCATATACAACACTATAACACAATCATATATAACACTATAACACAATCATATATAACACTATAACACAATCATATATAACACTATAATACAACATATATAACACTATAACACAATCATATATAACACACTATATAACACTATAACACATATATAACACTATAACACAATCATATATAACACTATAACACAATCATATACACACTATATATAACACACAATCATATATAACACTATAACACAAATCATATATACACATATAACACAATCATATACAACACTATAACACAATCATATATAACACTATAACACAATCATATATAACACTATAACACAATCATATACAACACTATAACACAATCATATATAACACTATAACACAACCATATATAACACTATAACACAACCATATATAAACATATAAACACATCATATATAACACTATAACACAATCATATACAACACTATAAACACAATCATATATAACACTATAACACAATCATATAACACTATAACACAATCATATATACACTATAAACAAACTATAACACTATATAACACTATAACACAATCATATACAACACTATAACACAATCATATATAACACTATAACACAATCATATATAACACTATAACACAATCATATATAACACTATAACACAATCATATATAACACTATAACACAATCATATATAACACTATAACACAATCATATATAACACTATAACACAATCATATATAAACACTATAAACAACATATAACATATATAACACTATAACAATATACACATATATAACACACACACATAACACAATCATATATAACACTATAACACAATCATATATAACACTATAACACAATCATATACAACACTATAACACAATCATATATAACACTATAACACAATCATATACAACACTATAACACAATCATATATAACACTATAACACAATCATATATAACACTATAACATAATCATATATAACACTATACATATCATATACACATATAACACATCATATATAACACTATAACACAATCATATATAACATATAACACAACCATATATAACACTATAACACAATCATATATAACACTATAACACAACATATATAACACTATAACACAACCATATATAACACTATAACACAATCATATATAACACTATAACACAATCATATATAACACTATAACACAATCATATATAACACTATAACACAATCATATATAACACTATAACACAATCATACTGTATATAAGACATCAGTCTAAGCAGGGACTCCTGACTTCCTCTGGAGTGAAGGAAGTCTGGGAGTCCCTGCTTAGACTGATGCCCCCGCGACCCGACCCCAGATAAGCAGAAGAAAATGGATGGATGGATGGATGGCATATAGAAGACTATAGCCAAGTGCAGCATACAGAGTATATACAGAGTCTGAGAGCAGCTGAGAGCTGAGTGCTGTGGGCACATACACATACACACACACACATACACATACAGACACAGACACACATACAGATACAGATACAGACACACATACAGATACAGATACACACACATACAGATACAGATACACACACACATACATACACAGACACAGATACACACACACATACACATACACATACACATACACACACACATACACATACAGACACAGATACACACACACATACAGATACAGATACAGATACAGACACACATACAGATACAGATACAGATACACACACACATACATACACAGACACAGATACACACACACATACACATACAGATACAGATACAGACACACATACAGATACAGATACAGATACACACACACATACATACACAGACACAGATACACACACATACACATACACATACACATACACATACACATACAGTTCTGTTGTATCGTGGACAGACAGACTCGTTTCTCAGGGTCTTAAGTGTTGATTACACAGAATTAAAGTAACTCTTTTATCAACTGGCACATTAAACCAAAACATGTCCGTCTGTTTACCTGCCTCTCCCTGACTGATCCACATGCTGCTCTGAATTAAGCTCTACACATTGTAAATCTGAATCAGTTTAACGGAAAGAGTTCAGAACCAATGATCAGTGTGTTTAAACAAAAACTTCGCTCTGACTGTACGAAGAGTCATAAAAGTTGAGGAATTAAACTTAGTTAAATCCAGACAAAGAGAAGAGGCCGAGAGCTTCACTGAGTCATACATTTAAAAAGAAAAAGAGCAGTGCAGGTGTTGTACGAGGGGAAAATCTGAAATCTCTACAGAATGTGGCCTTTATTGGAAAATGTACAGATGAGCGAAGTACAAACCCGAGGCACCCAGACTGAATATATTAAGAGTTATTTAATGTAATAAAGCACTCTTAATATATTCAGTTATATATATAGTTATATTATTACACTTGAGTTAAATCCAATTGAGAGAAAAACAGAGACATCTTTTCCTCCATATATATATGAAAATATATAGTTTTAAAGGTTTACTTTAAACCTGTATATCTTCTCTGTTGTGTGTGTTGAGTGTCTGTCATCAAATCCATGTTGCTTTTATTCACTCACAGTTCACTCAGTGTTTTTAACATCTCCAAAATATGTTAAAAAACATGTGGTTCTACATTTATCCTGGTTTCCTCTCCACAGACCTGATCTGTAACTTGGTGGCGTCACCTGTTTGTCTCCATAGAGATGAAGGAGTTTAAATCAGGGGTGTCAAACTCATTTTGGTCCGGGGGTCGTGTCCAACCGACTTTGATCCCAAAGTGTCCGGATCAGAAAACTCATGTCATATAAACCCCAAAAATAACAATAAGTTCAAATATTTGTGCAGAGAAACACAAATCTATTACAGAAATCTTTTTTAATTGATGAACTCTTTCTTTTACAAAATATTATAATATTATGAACAACCTGAAACTTTAAGAAAAATTTTATTTCAACACAAAGTTTTAACATGAACTTGTTTGTAAATAGAAATAAGTCAATTTTTGTTGTAAAATCCTGCACTCGGCTCCACTTTTCTCATGTTGGACATTTTTCTGATGAGGGTGTCACGGTCAACAGTCAAAACGATCGTCCTTTAAGAGCGTTTGGAAAGAGACAAGTCTTCATTTGTGCTGCTCTGGTGGGAGGGGCCACGTACAGAGACGCTGGAGACGCTGCTGTGATAAACACCACAGAAAATTAACAACATTTTAATAGAAAATATAATTAAAATATTTTAGTAGAAAATCAGCCGAGGGCCAGATTAAAGGTCTTGGAGGGCCGGATCTGGCCCCCGGGCCGTATGTTTGACACCCCTGGTTTAAATGATTTCACTGATAGCGCTGATTTATTCTTAATCACAAAAACACTGGACTTGAGGTTGAGTTGTTTATGTTATAATTTGGTGTTTTGGTTCAGTCAGTTCTCCAATCAGAAAACAGAATGAGCCTCACATGACTCTCTCGTTTGGGTTGCCAGGTTCAACGCTGAAATCCAGTTGGTTAGAACTTCAAATGCCTCTCTCTGATCTGAATGAGCTCTACCTAAACCCCAGCACCTTCACCAGCCTTGAGTCAGCGCTAGTGCAGCCTCTGCAGTTCACGGAGGGAACTCTGGCAGCTCTGAGCTTCACATGAGACCTGAACATGAACTGTGAGAATGAAACAAATCCAGGACGTGTCTCTGTGTGCAGGTGAATTATCTGGCAACACGGGGTCAGATGTGATTATTGAACCGGCGTTATCAGTAATAGGGGTTGAATTTTGATTTTGCCGCTTTGCTTGTTTGTCTTCTCTCTCGTCGCCTCCGCCTCCTTGATTTTGTTCACTCGTGTCTCCTTCACTCTTCAC